GGCTGTAATTGACTGCAAAGGATTTGCAACCAAGTATTAAAAAAGTGAAAGTTTGATTTATGATTATTGTTCTGTCCCATTACTTTTGGTCCCTTAACAAGTGGGAGGCACATATGCAAACTGTTGTAATTCCTACACCGTTCACCTGATTTGGATGTAAATACCCTCAAATTAAAGCTGACAGTCTGCAGTTAAAGCATATCTTGTTCGTTTCATTTGAAATTCATTGTGGTGGTGTATAGAGCCAAAAATGTTAGAATTGTGTCAATGTCCCAATATTTATGGACCTGACTGTATATACATGAATACAATATATGAATTAAATTGTCTATATAATGCTCTCTGGCTCACAGGCTTTAATACTCTGAGGATATGTAACGATTCATTAAAAACAGACCATTCAACCCAATTAAGAATGTTGTTGCTTGTAATGTCATTAGACATACATAATTAGTAGGCTAGGTAGTGACCTATGGGTTGTTAGTTCAACTGATAAAAATACTGATAAAAAGTGTGAGTTTGTGCATCATGTTTTCTAAATAAATATAAATAAATAAATAAATAAATAAATAAATAAATAAAATACAGTTCTCATACTGTTTTTGTTGCAAGACTAGACTGCTCAATATAGCACAAAACTTGTATTGGCCGAGTGGAAACGTATTTTGTGTATGTAGCCCCAGTGCCTGGCTTGAGACTCTGCATTATATTCTTTATGTATTATGTCTTTTACTTAATCTGTCTTTCTGTCTAGTTTTTTGCCCTTGTGTGTTTTGAATTGTGTATTTGGACTATTAGCAATATAAAAATGTGTACCCTTGTCTCCATGTTTATTTCACTGCCACTAGCATATCAGTGACAGAGAAGAGAGAAAATATGTCTGCTGCAAACTCTGTCAGTCAGCTGGTTAATTTATAAAATAATAAAAATCAATGTAAAATGTAATACCTTAAGTGATGCCTAATGTTATGTCATTACAAAAATATCAAAGTGCTACACTGTGCGCAATCAGTTCTTAAAGAGAATGAGATGAGCTGATCTGATATCGCAGCAGCACGTTGAAAAACACCTTTTTAAATACATAATTTCTTCAAATCCTGCCCCTTTTTACACTTGCAATGCTCTATGCCATGTTACCAACTAGGTTGTTTATCATGAAGATCTAAACATACAATACGCTGATCATATGCCTTGTTTTTGTATGTGCACTATGATCATAAAACAAAGCCCCACCATTGATGAGCTCCAGATCAATAATGAGAATAGTTGAGAGTAATTGAGTTCTGGATCCCACAGTTAGGTGAAATATTTATTTATACAGACATGTCTATAATGGCATGTCTGGCATGGGGCCAGTCGTGGCCTAATGGTTGGAGAGTTGGACTTGGAACCTGAAGGTCGTGGGTTCGAGTCTCAGGTCCGGCAGAGATTGTATGTGGGGGGAGTGAATGACCAGTGCTCTCCTCCACCCTTCCAGACCTTTGAGCAAGGCTTCCCAGGGCGCTGCAGCAAAAAAAGCTGCTCTGGGTGTGTGTGTGTGTGTTCACTACTGAGTGTGTGCCCTTGGATGGGTTAAATGCAGAGCACAAATTCCAAGTATGGGTCACCTTACTTGGCCACACGTCACTTCACTTCACTATGGTACCTTAAATGACTATGAAAGGCTATGCTTTTTATTACAAGCCTGTGGTACATACTTACCCAATCTTATTTCATGTTTGTAGATGCACAAGAGATAACCTTCTCTCAAGAAATAGGAGGATCATTATATCTACACTGTATTCATTCACACAACAGCATTTGGCATCATCAGGACTTTTTTGACATGTGAGAAGAGTGCCAGACATTAAATATTTAACCGTCGTTAGACCTTTTGTGCTTAGTGTTTATGTGAACAAGTGTCATAAGCCCACGTCAACAGCATGCTGGGAAATACTAGCAGTACACTGAGCTTCCTCGCATACTGGCATGCTTCAGGCCGCCCTGTGCTGCACCACAGCTGACATGCCTTGGCCGTGAGGGAAGAAAATGCTGCATGATTATTTTGACTAATGCTGTTTTCTTTCCTTTTGACCCATGATCATCTCTCTTAAATGGTTCTGGCTTATCCCCACTCTAGCTGAAAGATGAGGGGACTGTATCTGTATCCTGTATCTCCAAATGTCTAGCAAAAACAGAAGTCAATGGCATGCTGAGTCTATTGTGCGCCAAACTGTATTTGACTAAGATATATAAAAAATATTTAACAAATAAATAAATTTTAAAACTGTACATAAAATATTTACGTTTAAAGGTAGTTTGATCCAAAGATACAAGATTTATAGGATGTGTTTGCTGATAGAATCATTAAACATCAGGAAGAACCTTATTGCAGGAATTGAAACTTATTGCACAGTAATTGCTCAGTTCTGCAGGTAATTTCCACAGTAAAATTAAGTTTACCAATTTTCTCTTCAACTAATACCCTAAAGTGCCTAAAAATCAGATTAAAATGCTCACATTTGATTGTAACTTCTCAAGCCAGAGCATGCTACCCAGGACTGCACGATTCCCCACATTCCAACATAAAGACCATGGAGGAATATCTCAATTGTGGTGTAGTCTACAAATGGTGGAGACATATCCAAGGCTTTGATGTTGTTTCCTGCTCTTAGGCACTTCCCCTTCTTTTAGGGGCAATTTGGAAGACAGTCCAGCTGATGCCAGATCTTCCCCCAGTGCCCCCTCCTGTTTCATCCTGTTCATTCATTCACTCAAGCAGATTGACCATCCTTAGATGCTCAAGAGATGAGCTACTCTAAAATTATGCTAAGAATTAATAATAACATTACAGGGAGATTTATAGCAATTAGTGGTTTCATAATAACTTGTAATTCATTTGCTAATGGTTTTTCACGGGCGAGTATTATATTTATAGACAAATTACTGATTTTTTCTCATTTATAAGTAACACAGTAGCCTAAGGGCAGGGCTTTGCATTTTCTTACAAAGTGGTCCACATCTATCAAACTCTTCATTTCAAGACGGTGAAGAGCAAAAAAGCATGTTAATAAAAGTATGAAAGCTTCTTCACACAAGGCTGAAAAGAACAGAGAAAGTAGTCACTGCATGTGTGTTTAACAGGAATGGCTAAACTGACAGTAGATAAGGAAAATTATGTAATTTTTATTAAAGAAGTCTGTATTGAAATGTAACATTTCAAAACAAATACAGTGGAGTCCAAAAGTCTGAGAGCACTAGTGAAAATACTTCTATCTTGCATTCTTTTCTAATTTAATACAACAATTTTCATTACAAATGATATCACGGGCAACAACTTGAGTAGAAAGTAGAATCTTTGAAACATTTACATGAATTTCAGAGTTTCTTAGCACTTGGTACGTCCCCTTTTTGCTTTAATGACAGTGTGCTCGAGCCGGCATGGACTCCACAAGTTTATGCAAAACTTCATGATCCATTTTAGATCAAATCCATCAGAGTGTCGTCTGAACACATGCTTCAAGAGAAGAGACTAGGCATGAGGAAGATCTGACCTTTTGTACAAAGCAGTTAATATAAATTTGCTTACATTTAAATATGGACTTAGAAATAGTGCAGAATTTTGAAAATTAAATATTCAAGATATTGAACGTTTTGATTGATTTACTTTCTTTGTTTTAAATATTTAAAAATTCTACAACCTTCTGTTTATTTCCAGTTTTAAATGAAAAAAATAAAATCCCGGTCTCAAACTTTTGGACCCCACTGCACCTCATAATGATTGATGCAACATAATTTCACATTACCCAACCTATATGTGGTTATCAAATCAACAGCAACAGATCTGTCAAAAATAGTGGAATCTAGATACATTATTAATAAATTTAGCACTACTGTAATAGTAGTGGAATGATGCACTGAGCCTATTATTCTGTACTAGAATAATATCATCATCATCATCATCATCATATTGCAAATGCCATTAGGTTGGAAACATTTAGATACACATCCATGCACACACACACACACACACACACACACACACATGGTTACAACATGGTACGATACAATAGAACACTTGAGGCCTCTGTGCAAAGCTTTAACAGCAGCTGGCCAAATCAAGGAGGGATAAAAGGAAAGGAGAGAGAGGGAGGGAGGCTGTGAGGTATGGGCAGGGTGGGTTAACGTCCAAGGGCCCCAGCTGCCCTGGTGTTAGGGTTAGTGGGACTTAGAAGCAGAGAGATAATCAGCTTTATTAGCACTGCTAAAACCAATTTAGGAGCAGACTTAAGGGATCAGACAGGCCAGCTGTCCACAGCACCCCTGCCTACTTCTCATCAGCACCATATTTCATTTCATTCAGCACCACCACAGCAGCAACCCACCCCTAAGAACAGGTAGCATAATTGAATTAAACATCATCCACAAGCAACATAAGTCTGGCCACTCATACAAAAAAAAGTGCCTTCCTGATTTCCCTTAAAATTATGCTTGTTGTAACATTGTATGGCATCAAGTTAAACTACAGAGCTACAAAATGTTACTCATTCTCATAAATTTCAAGTTTCAATTATGTATGTTGTTTTATTATTATTTTTAAATGATGTATATACATGGCTGTACAATGATAGATAGGGTATTGTTAAGAAATTTTAAGATGTAATTTGAAGTTGAGCCACTACAGGTAGAAATGACAGTTTTGGTTGTGTTTTTCTGATTTTTGGATAAATTACATATATAATGCAACTTACTGCACGATAATTCTTATTTATTTCATTTAACTTAATTGCATTACTTGTATACATCATACTGTTTACATTTGCCTGTACACTGTTATTTTAACTTATTAACTTAACTTATATAATATTGCAACTATTGTGTAAAAGTCTTTCTCTTTAAAATAAAATATTTTATTTTGAACATCATCCAAATACTATATTTTGGTTTTAATATGTATGCCAATTTATGCATATTTGTATTTTCTTTATTTGGCTTTTCATTTACAAACAATAAAAAGCAAAACAAAAAAGCAAAACAAAAATAAAAACAGAATTAGAAACAAACAAACAGTGCCAGTGCGGTTTCACATACACATTCAAAGTTGATACTACAGTCCGTATCCTCACAGAATAGTGCAGTTGGTCCATCTTTATAGTCCTTAAATTGCAGGATGAGTCGTCTTCTTTTTAATATGATCAACAAAAGGTCCCCAGATTTTTGTAAACTTGTCGTGTTTGTCCAACAACTTATACCGAATCTCCTCCAAGTATAAACATGATATCATATCATTCAACCATTTGCTAT